AATCGCATGAAATAATTTAACTGCAAGGTACGCATTTGACGAATAGCTAATCGAGAATTTAGATTCATTGAATTTGCTTCAATAGGAAAACCAAGTTTTTCACATTTAGTTGTTGAACTACTCTTTGATGATGAACTTAACGAAGTTGATTGATGTTTTTGATAAGATATATTTAATAAAAGATTGGATTTTGATATTCTTGTTGCACGATTAAGTAAAGATCGAATTTTACAATAAACATATATATTAATAACTAATAATACAACTAATGGAATGAAGTAAATGAATGCAAAAGCTAATATGAAATAAATAAGTGAACTAAGTGATCGATCAAACCAATTTAGTCCACAATGAAAACCAATTCCTTCAGGTGTATATTTATTCCAATTAAATAATGGTGGTAATGCAAAAATAAGGCCAAATAACCAACAAACTATAACTGTCCAATATGAATGTTGATCAATGAATCGATTTTGTATATTGGTTTCGAAAACTGTAGCATAACGAATAACTGATATCATCATTAGCGTAAACATATGAACGCAACCATTTAAATAAGAAACAAAACCTTCTAATTGACAATAAAATGATGAACACAATCGATGACAAGATAAACATTGGATAAATATTGATGGCACTATAACAATTATTACTGATGTTGACGATAAAACCATTGATAACACTAACGAGTAATGACGAAATCGAAGATGTCGATGATAAGATGACCAATAAATAAAACGAACATTAAATATAATTGAAAACATTGATACAAGTAATATAATTGATCCTATTTTACGAGTAATTAAGCATTCGACATTGTTTATTTCACGAAATAAAGTGCCAAGGCATAATGTCACATTTGAAACCATTGTCTAAAAAAGATAAAAACAAATAAAAAACAAGTCTGATAGTATTTATAGAGAGGTTTTCTTTTAAGCAACTAACTTAACTTCTTTTATTATTTCTCTTAAAATAACATAATAGACGCTAGGAAAGTGCTATCATAAACTAAATACACTTACCTACTTACTTGGTCAATTTGAAAAGATGCAGGTACTCATATGCATGAGTACATAGAAAGGAAATGAAGTGAGTGCAATAAGTCCTAAGTTTCTACCGGTTAAAAAACGCTGATGTTCAGGTAAACCAAAAGATCATTCCATGGATTATAAGTATACGGTTATTCAGATTGTATTAATTTTTTCCTGACTAATAAAAATTTGTTCCGAAAGTATAATTGATGTTTATGAAGCGTTTGTGTGCATAAACAAATAATACGCTTTATATAACACAAAATCTATTCTTTCTTTCTTTCTTTAAATGTTAAAGAAAATAAATCAAGTGTTAGATTGCAAGAATTTTTGTTTTACATCTATGATGCGTTCTTTTTTTAGCGAATATATTTTTTTGCGACTTCTAGACATTTTTCCATCCAACTATTTTAGATACAATCACGTTCTACTATCTGTCTTTTTTTTAACATTCAAAATGTTCTTTGAACTAATTTCTTCTCATTATTTCAATGTAATGTTATACGCTTAAACAAAGGTTACTTTAACTTTTTTTCATAAAACTCTATTTTTCTTTTAAATTGATACTGTTAAAACATACTCAAA